AGACACCTGAGCTTACCTCATCTCACTTGAAGATTAACCACCCTAACTCAACCTAACCTAACCTAACCTAACCATTACCCGTGTTGTTCTTGCCGGGGTTGTTCTTCTCGCTGTGTTATTAAGGTTTATTTACACGAACGAGGCTACATCACGTGGGGCTTACCTGGCCAATTACTGCACACACCGCAACACAGAACAGCCAGTGTGATAATGGTGGGGAAGTCGTTTACAATGTGTGTGTGTGTGTTTGTGCGTTTCGTCGTGTGTGTGTGTGCGTTTCGTCGTGTGTGTCTGTCTGTTTTTATGTCCGTCCGTTCGTCTTTTCGTCCGTCCGTCAGCTTGTCCGTTTGTGCTTATGGAGAATTCTGAAGTTCCGCTAAACGACGGTGACCCAAGAATCACCATGAGCTAGGTTAGTGAGGAATGCTCGTCTCCGTCAGTTAGTCAGTCAGTCAGTCAGTTAGTTGGTTATTCAGTCAGTCAGTCAGTCAGTCAGTCATTAGGTTAATGAGTGAGTCAGTCAGTTAGGAGTGGCATGTATTTAGCTAACTGACACCATCATCAGTCACTTCCATTAGTCATCAGAGGAGAATGTCAGGTAATGAGGCTCACCTGGTCATCTTGTTCCCTGTGGTGGAGACTATGTAGGTGTTTCTCTCTCTCACACACACACACACACACACACACCACAACTGAACCTCCTTACCACCTGCATAATTTACACCTCATCACCTGACGCTCCACTAATGAGCAGTCGTACACCTGTGCCTCTCATTATAACAATACACCAGGTAAGAAAAGCTTCTCTTGCCCTTCGCCACAACAACCCCCCCCCCCACTCCCACTCCCACTCCACCACGAGGAATTAACTTAAAAACACTGTTAACGGTACAGGTGAGATAATTACCATGTTAATATTATCACAGGTGTTGTTGGTCTTTGAAGTGTCCAGTTGCTGTATCTAGGTTAGTTTTAACAATGGTTGGTGTAAAATTATGATTATGTTAAAATACTAACAAGTTTTACCTGCTGAAAGTCGTAATTATCATTCTCTGTGTCGTAGCTTAAGTGAGGCATACATTCACAGTCCACCAGTTATGAAGAAAATTTACCGTAACCAAACTTTAAGAATTTAGTTCAGATGGAGATAATTTTTGTTTACGATAATTTTGTCTCTTTTTAACTGGTGCTAAGTGAACGTAATTGTGGTAGAGTCTCAATGTAATTTTTAAGCCATTACGAGAGAAAAATTGACGTAGGATTTTCTTTCACCCCACTCTGCCCTCACCCCTTCCTTCCCTCCCCTACCCCTCACCCCTTCCTTCCCTCCCCTACCCCTCACTCCTTCCTTCCCTCCCCTACCCCTCACTCCTTCCTTCCCTCCCCTACCTCTCACCCCTTCCTTCCTCCCCACCTCTCTGCACCCCTTCCTTCCTCTCCCCACCTCTCACCCTCCTTCCCTCCTCACCTCCACCCACCCCCTCCACCTCATCCCCCATCCTCCTCCTCCTTTCGCTTTCTCTCTTCCTCTCCCCCTCACCCAGCTTACTCCCCTGCCCCTCCAGCTTCCCCCTCACCCCCCCTCCCCCTCACGCCTCGTGCTGCTGGGTAACGTTGCTCCTTACTCGGCAAGGCAAGGCACACAGATAAGTCACCGCGATAAGACTAATTGATAACAAGGAATCAGAGAGTTGACACCTTAATGCCATAAGTGGTGCTTATCTAGGGAGTCTTCAGGGTGCTGGCAAAACATCCCTGAGGGGGTTATTGCTTGGCCAGGCGCTGATAAGAGGAACGATTAATGGTGGTGACTTACACACACACAGGTTCAGGATACACTCACAGGTCAAGATACACTCACAGGTCAAGATACACTCACAGGTCAAGATACACTCGCAGGTCAAGATACACTCACAGGTCAAGATACACTCACAGGTCAAGATACACTCACAGGTCAGGATACACTCACAGGTCAAGTTAAGATACACTCACAGGTCAAGATACACTCACAGGTCAAGATACACACACAGGTTCAGGATACACTCACAGGTCAAGATACACTCACAGGTCAAGATACACTCACAGGTCAAGATACACTCGCAGGTCAAGATACACTCACAGGTCAAGATACACTCACAGGTCAAGATACACTCACAGGTCAGGATACACTCACTCACTGAACGAGAGAACTTCGCAAATCTCTAATCAATTAACACGTTTCCCAATCACCAAGATGCAATTGGACTTAAATATATAGGGTCGTATATTAATCACTGGATCACCTGAAGATTAGCCACCCCCTACAGCTTTTTGCACCTGATGATTACCCACTCTTAATACTACTTGGGGGGGGTGGTTAGGTTAGGTTATAGTGGTTAGTCTTTAGATGAATTAATCTGGGGGTTAACCTCTGTCTCTACTCATATGTTAGTCAGATTCTCTATATATTTGTATGTTTAAATAATACTTTAAGTCTATGGGAATTTATATACTTCTTATAATTTTTTGTAAACAAGTTATATATAAGCCATTGTTTGTACTAGTTAGCAAACAATTTCCTCTACCCATGCCTGCAGTGTCTAAGTCAGATTATTACGTATAATTGTATTTTTAGCAGCGTTCGGTCTACTCATTACGCACCTGCTGACTTGACTGGTAGTTTTTACACTCGAGAGGTGTTTTGTGAGGTCACCTGAAGGTTAGCCCCCCCAGCATATTGTGTGTGGTTGGGGTGGTGTGTGGATGGGGGTGGTGGAGTGTGGATGGGGGTGGTGGAGTGTGGATGGGGGTGGTGGTGTGTGGATGGGGTGGTGGAATGGAATGTTGCGAGTGAATGACATAGTTGTGGTGTTGTGTGGTTGAGAAGGAGGTAATGTGGGTTGGGGGAGGGGGGAGAGGGTTTGAAGGAGAGGAGAGGAGGGGGTGGAGGAGTAGAAGATGACACACTCCACTATCAACACCTACACGGCCCTCCACACAACCACTGTCAACTACCACTATGAAATAAGTCCTTAAATACTTCACCTTCATACGATTTTTTTTCTCCCCTTCTTTTTCTCCCACCACCTCCACGCTGGACACGAAGCTTCGAGGAAATAGAATCCCCATAACTATCATCAAGATCAGCATGACGAATGAGAAACTTAAGGTGTATGAGGTGTCTCCTGATCACTCACGAGGTCCAGCTAGATCTTAGTACCGAGGGGAGTATTATTTTTTGGGGTGGGGGGAGAGGGAGGTATTCCGGAGCTAAGACTTTGACGTTCTGTCCAAGCATATAACTTGAAAGACTAAAGCTGGTGATTATGTACCCCGGCGGCTCAGATCCTAACATGGGTACTGTGTGTGTCTTGGTCGGCATGCAAATCATTAGAGTGATCAGGTTTCAACATCCCTGAGGCGATATTGACGCAGACAGGTGATGAACGTACCTGGCCAGACCTCTCGTCGTATAGGTTATGATTCTTAGAGTTTGTAAATATTAATCTTGGGTTTTTCATCACTCTTCCCTCCCTCCTCTCTCTCAGTACCGATGCTATTGGGGGGGGTGGAGGTGCGTGTGTTGGGGTAATTAAGGTGAGAGAAGTTGTCTAAAAGTCTTGATGTAAATAGAGAGGGAAACAGGAGACTGTGTGTGTGTGTGTGTGTGTGTGTGTGTGTGTGTGTGTGTGCGGTGTGAATGATATACATTTGGCGTGTTGGCTTGACGGATCGGTCGTAATTGTTTTTGTCGACGTGGTCCCTGCCCGGAGAGACGACGGTGCTGATCTGCCCAGGGCCCCGCCGCGTCAGTCCACTGCTCTGTGGTAATTGTACACACACACACACACACATTTATACTGCCCCGATATTTTGCTCTCCTACTCCAGCCGGCATTTGAGGACCTGTTTAAAGCTTCTACACCGTTATAAGGAGAAACTCTTGTTCCAGCGGCGACATAATCATTAACACAGTGGCAACAAGAAGAGGACTTTTAGATATGCTTTTAAAATATACGAATCAGTCAAGTTTGTGGATGATGTGAACGGATGATGAATTCTGAAACATTAGTCCGCGTTTTTCATTGTAATTGATGGATAGCGGTAATTGAACCCCTCCAAAGAAATAAATCATACCTAATAGCACACAATTTATGGTAATCTTAATGTTATCGATTATTAATATAATAGCGGATTTTTTTTCCCTCTCCCGTACTCTTATGATATACATTAGACAGAGGCTGAAGAACTAGTCGTAATTAACTGGAAGATTTTATTCAAGCTATGAAATATATTTTATGTCGAAGATATTAATACAGTTCTAATATCTAAGTCAATGTCTAAACCGACTTACGTAATATTTTAATTAAGGAAATGCCAGGAATATTTGAATTAGATATTGAAGGTTCTTAGGTGAATTAGAAATCTATATACAGGAGATATTTATTTAATTTTGCATTAAGTAGACATAAAATTAGCGATTAGGTGAACGATTTTCATTTAGTGACATAATGAACTTCTGAGATATATATATTTTTTGCTTTAATAATGTCTCTGACCTAACCACCACCACTACCACACCCTCACCACCACCACCACTGTCTCTTACTTATTACCACCACAATCTCCCACTTACCACCACCACCACTAACCTCACCTACCACCACTACCTCACCTACCACCACTACCTCCCCTACCACCACTACCTCCCCTACCACCACAACCTCCCCTACCACCACTACCTCCCCTACCACCACAACCTCCCCACCACCCCACTACCTCTCCCTACCACAAACTCCCCTACCACAACCTCCCCTACCACAACCTCCCCTACCACCACAGCAACCTCCCCTACCACCACTACCCCCTCCCTCCTACCCACCCACCCACCACTACCACTTCTACCCCCACCACCCCCTCACCCACCCCTCCCCCAACCACCACCCCTCATCACCCTCCCCTTACCACCACTACACCCCCCCACCCCCCCTTCCTCCTCAACCCCCCTCACAAACCAGACCTATGAACGCCGACCCGGTACAGACCCAAGCTAAGAAAAGACAACCGTATGACCCTAAAGAAGCCAATAACCGAGTCCCCCCTCTCGTCTCATTTTACCAGGGTGTGACATAGTGTGGGTGTGACATTACGGGTGTGACATAGCGGGTGTGACATAGAGGGTGAACCGAATTAAAGAAAAGGGCCTCACATATAATAAGACCAGCTGCTCTCTATTGGTCTGGAATGGTCTGGAAGGGTCTGGAATGGTGTTAATGGTTATGGAACTTGACTTTTATACCATATTTAATGACCTAACGCTTCAACTTCTAACCCTTTATTTTTTTTTTAATTTAAGGGAAAGTAAAGACCTTTTTTTTCATAGGGGGTTAATTTTTTGGGGGGGTGTGATTTTTTTCCCAAATTTTCATGGGGGGATTAAGGGGTTATTTAGGGGGGAGGGATTTTTGAGGTTTAAGGTTTGTGGAAAGAAAATCCCCCTTTTTTTCCTGTTGGCGAAAGAGAGGAGGGATACGATAAGAGGAGGAGGAGGAGGAGGGTGGATAGGGGTGATGGTGTGTGGATAAAGGGGAGGGGAAGGAAGGGAGTGGAGTAACAAGAAGGAGGGAAGGAGGCTGGATAAGAGTATGTGGGTAAGGGGTAAGAAGAGGAGGAAGGGGCGTGAGTGGAGATTTTTTTTCCCAGTTGTATGTATTTAATAGTTTTTCAGGGTGGAGGGAAGAAGCTCTCCTCTCTTACAGCTATTGAGGAAAGGTGAGAAAATCACTGGACTGAAGCTTTTAATTACAGGATGGTGAGTTTTTTCATAGCATTTGGTAGAGGAGGAAGAGAAAGGAGGAGGAGGAGGAGAAGGAACAGAAGGAGGAACAGAAGGAGGTCTAGGAAAAGGAGAAAGGAAGAGGGGAAGGAAGGAGACAGAGAGAAAAACCAATGTATTTTTGTTAGTGTTAGAAAATGGTTCGTAATAATATGTAGAATTTTATGTATATATATGTATGTATGTATATATATGTATGTACGTATGTATGTATGTATGTGTAATGCATGTATATATGTATGTAGTTGTAAATGTTGAGTAAACTATTAGCGAGGAGAATAAGACACGAGGTACCTTCCCCTGTCTTGTCAAAGGCGTGCACCGCTCGCTCGCTGCTCACCTTCCTAACAAGAAACACATTTTAAAAGTTTCAAAAGGCAGCCAAGCTCGTATGGTCTAAAAGCCTTTTGATGTAAATTTGGCGGAGGACTGCTTAGTGACGGACCCCATTGTGATAATTGAAGCTTTATAACCGGGTTTATATTTTTGTAATATATTGCAGTGTGGTGGTGGTGGAGGTGGTGGTGGAGAATGGTGTTGTTGGAGGTGCTAGGGGTTAAGTACCACGCACACACACACAGTAGTGACCATCAACTGACCAGGTACTGAACATTACTTGAAAGAATGAACGCCATTAGTCTGAGGATGTCGATCATAAAGACTTCCAATAACAAACATCACCCAAATGACCAATTTAGTGGTTCGGGAGTGTCATTTGGACGGCCACGAACTATCTGGTCGATGATTGGTTCCCGCAGACCGGCAGCCTCCCTGCTGAGTGGTCAATTTACATTACGATGGGCAACCTTTGTTTAGAATGAGGGGGCCGTGTTTTTCTTGTGTAGTGGGAGGGGGGGGGGTGGTAGTGGGGGGGTGGAAAATCAGGGGAAAAAGGGGGAGGGAAGTCGGGAGGGGGGAAGGGGGAAGTCGGGAGAGAGAAGGAGGGAAGTCGGGGGGGTGTAGAGAATTCACCTTTTTCTCCAATAATGTTACCACCTCTGACCACACACACACACATGTCAACACTGATGTATTGAGGTGTCTGACGTAGTTACTCAGATGTAGTTGTATACAGGCATAGAACAACAACAACGACAGTAACAACAACAACAACAACAACACAGTAACAACAAAAATAACAACAACAACGACAGTAACAACAAAAATAACAACAACGACAGTAACAACAAAAACAGCAAAAACAAAAAAATCAACAACGGCAGAGCTTCATTAGTACTTACACACTACGTCATTACAACAACAACTCAAACAACAACAACAACAAAATAATAATAACAACAATAATAATATTAACAAAATTTAAGAGCAGCAGAAACAATAACAATACAAAAATAACAATAACAAAAACAACAACAGTAACAAATACAACAACAATAACATTAACAGAGCCTTAGTCAACAGAGTGTGGACATGCAACCTGTGTGCGAGTAGCCCCTCTCCCTCTCCTCTCCTTTCCCTCTCACCTCCCCTATCTCCTCTCTTCTCCTACCCCTCTCGTCTTCTCTCCCCCTACCCTACCTTGCCTCCTCCTACCCCCATTCCCACTCCTACCTCTTTCCCACTCCCTCCACCTCCTCCCCCTCTCCCACCCTCCTCCCACCTCCTACCCTCTCCCACCTCCCACCCCCTCCCCCACCTCCTCTACCCCCTCCCCCCTCACCTCCCCCACCTCCTCTCCTCCCACCTCCTCCCCACTTCCACTTGCCCCCTCCCACGATAACAAGACCTGGCTCATTTTATCTGTGAATCTGAAATGTCTTGCCCCTTGCTACATGGGCGTGAACACTGCCCTAGCACCCATGGGGGCAATGGGAATTATGTGGGGAGAAGGGAGGGGCACAGACCAGGTATGGAGGAGGGAAGGAGGATGGAGGGGAGGGAGGAAGGATTGTGACCAGAGGGGGGAGAAATAGTTACACACACACACACACACACACACACACACCCACACACACACACACACACACACACCAATTTAACTATTAATAATGAATATCTATTATAAACTATTTATTTGATATTTCACCTCACTAACCTCATTTAACCTCTCACAACCTCACTACTACCTCTCATTTAACCCTCACTCACTTAACCCTCCTCACTAATCCCCTCATTCACTAACCCTCCTCACTAACCTCCCTCACTACCTTTCATCTCTCTTCATTTCCCCCTTATCCCATTTCCCCAATACCCTCTCCTTCTCCCTCTCCTCCCACCTCCATCATCCTCTGTCTCCTCCCATCTTACCTCCTTTCCCAACTTCTTCCCCCCTCCCCTGTTGGTGCTCCCAGTATGTTTATTAGTGTTCTTATCATCAGACTACTGTGTCGAAAGTTCTGTGTTGTTCTTTGTTGTGTGTGTGTGTGTGTGTTGTGTGTGTGTGTGTGTGTGTGTGTGTGTGTGTGTGTGTGTGTGTGTGTGTCAATATGGGCGTGTACTGTGTGTCCTGACGCCGAATAATTAATTATCATAATTATGTAATGTGCGTGTCCCTGTCTCAGTAGTGAACACGGCTGTATGTGTGTATGGGGGGTGGGGTGATGTGTAGGGGAGGGAGGGGTGATGTGTGGGGAGGGAGGGTGATGTGGTGGAGGGAGGGGAGGATGGGGGAGGGAGGGGAGGGATGTGAGGGGGAGGGAGGGGAGTGATGTGTGGGGGAGGGAGGGGAGATGGGGGAGGGAGGGGAGGATGTGGGTGGGGGGTGGGAGGGGAGTGGGGGGTGGAGGGGAGGATGTGGGGAGGGGAGGGGAGGATGTGGGGGTGGGAGGGAGTGATGTGGAGGATGGAGGGGAGGATGTGGGGTGGAGGAATGGAGGTATGTGTGTGTTGGAGGTCTTTGTAGGAGGGTGGGGGTGGGGGTGCTGTGTGTGTGTTTGATAACAATTATAAATACAAAGATCATTAAATAATCTCACCTCAGCTCAACTAATCTCAGGTGTTTACAAGGAGGTCGGCCATCTTGTTTGTTTTTTTCTTCTCAATACGTATAGTCAACATGTATAGTGTACAAGTTTAGGGACCCCACAGTCGGCCATATGCACACCTGTCCCCTCTAACTTGTGTGTACCTGTATAATGGACTACAGTACACACACACACACACACACACACTTGGATCCAAAGACATAACATGTATTTATGTACGTGTATTTATGTGACTGTCTTCTGTTTATGGATATGTACTCGCGTCTGGCCTCGTGTACATACGTGTGTGTGTGGGCGTGTGTACATTTGTGTGATGGGAGTAATTAATGATGGTGTAGCAAGGTGAGAATGCTCGTGTTCACTGCTCCGCTCACCACCATTAGCATACACATCACCTGGGGAGAAGCAGTGTTACCAAAGTCTTCCCTACAAGGCTTTACTTACTCACCTGTTCACCTGTTCGTCTCGCTGATTGGAGAAAAAAACCCTCCAATCATTACCTTTATTCTCTTATTCCATCTTTATCATCATCTTTATCCCCCCCTTTTTTATCCTTTTAATTTTGTTATTCCTTTTTTACCATTTTTTTTATGACAGTCGTACTAAAGTCAAGAATAGGGAAGTGTTCGTTGGCAACACTGTAATCTCAAACCACTCTCATATCTCTACTCTACCCTCTATCCCCCCTTCTGGCCGCTTAGATCCAAGTATTTTTTTTTCCTTGAAGATTTAAGGTTAACATAATTTTCATCCAAGCTTCGTCCCTCCTGAGAGCTCTTGAGTTTGATCTGCTGGAGGGAGTTGTTCCTCCTTCAGTAGTCACCTCAACTGAGACAGGCTAGAGGCAGTAACACACGAAGTTCAGCCAGCCAAGCCATCCACGTCAAGTTAACCACATCAAGTTAGCCACGTCAAGTTGGCTACGTCGAGCCAGTTAGCCACCGTTAGCACGTCGAGCCAGTAACCACGTCAAGTTAGCCGTCGTCAGTTAGCCACGTCGCCAGCTACCAGGTAGCACGTCGCCAGTAACGTCAAGTTAGCACGTCAAGTTAGCCGTCCAGCCAGCACGCGTTAGCCACGTCGCAGCAACCACGTCAAGCGCCACGTCAAGCCAGTTAGCCACGTCAGCCAGTTAGCCACGTCGTCAGCTAGCCACGTGTGCCCGTCGTCAGTTAGCACGTCAGTTAGCGCGCGTAGCGTTAGCTACGTCAGCGTTAGCCGCGCAGCTAGGCACGTCAGTTAGCCACGTCAAGTCGTAGTCAGTTAGCGTCAAGCCAGCTAGCTACCTTGTATTGGCTTCTCTGGTTTTGGGAAATATGTGATGCACTGTAAAAAATTTGACGAGTGGGGGCGAGGTTAGTGAGAGGGAGGAGGGGTTATTGAGAGGGAGGAGGGAGAGGGAGTAGGGGTTGGTGAGAGGGAGCAGAGGTTAATGAGGATAGGGTTGGTGAGAGGGAGCAGAGGTTAATGAGGATAGGGGTTGGTGAGAGGGAGTCAGGTTAGGTGAGAGGGAGAGAAGTTGAGTGAGGGCGAGACGTTGGTGTGAAGAAATGGGGATGAGAGAGGGGAGAGGAGAGAGAGAGGAGAGAGAGAGAGAGAGAGAGAGAGTTACCTAGTCTTCAAGAGTATACTTAAAGTGAGTCCATTTTTTGATGGGTAAAGATCAAGTGGTCTTTGTCTTCATAGCCAGAAAGAATACATTAGACTGTGCAGACGTGGACCCTGAGCCCTTTTGGAGGAGGGTAGGGAAGGAGGGAAGGAAGGAGGGAAGAGGGAGGGAAGAAGGAGGGAGGGAGGGTCAGAACCTCTGTTGGGGGATGTGGTACACTACTTGAGGGAGGGAAGTGAAGGAAGGGAGGGAAGGAGGGAGTGAAGGAAAGATAGAGAAAACGAAGGATGGAAGGAAGGAAAGAGGGAAGGGAAAGAGTTTATCAGAACCACGATACACCAGTGAGTGAGTGAGTATAAGTGATTGACTAAGACAGGGAATAGACTAGCTCAGGCTTCATCATTGTAACTTCATTTGCATTTTTCTACATCATTTATACATATTTATCATCCATCTTTATCATCCATATTTATCATCCATATTTATCATCCATCTTTATCATCCATATTTATCATCCATATTTATCATCCATCTTTATCATCCATCTTTATCATCCATCTTTATCATCCATCTTATTATCTTTATCATCCATCTTTTCATCATATTATCATCCATCTTTCATCTATTTATCATCATATTATCTCTCTTTATCATCCATCTTTATCATCATCTTTCATCCATCTTTATCATCCATATTTATCATCCATATTTATCATCCATCTTTATCATCATATTTATCATCCATATTTATCATCCATCTTTATCATCCATCTTTATCATCCATCTTTATCATCCATATTTATCATCCATCTTTATCATCCATCTTTATCATCCATCTTTATCATCCATATTTATCATCATCCATCTTCCTCGTTGCTCATAAATTACTCACCTGTTCTTCAGCGTCTCAGTTTTGTTGTGATGTAGTAATGCTTCTCTGAGTCAATCGCTTTTGTCTTACTCTGAGGGAGAGGGATGGAGTATCTACTTGAGGGAGGTGGACCTTGAGTAGGGTAGAAGCAGAGGGGGAGGGTAGGAGAAGGAGGGTTGGATGGTGGAGGGTAAGGGAGGAGGAGGGTAGGGGGAGAAGGAAGAGGAGGAGGGTAAGGGAGAAGGAGGAGGGTAGCACTAAGGTGTTTTTAATCACCAGGTGTAACAAATTAAGTTGGCTAATCTGCAGGTGATCCATATTTCTCTAATAATATAGATAAAACACATTAAATCTACACAATTTTATAACAAACACCTCAATAAAACACCATGACTCAGGTTTAGACACATTCTTAAAAACAAACAACAAAATAAAACAAAGTATTATGTCTTGGGCACAGGTAGATCTGCCCTGGATGGATGCCCCGTGCCAATGGTCCACCGAGATACCTGGGGTCAGAGGTCAAGGGTGTCACCGACTCTTTATCGTCCTGACTGGCTGACTGGATGGGTGACTGGATGGGTGGATGGATGATTGGGTGACTGGCTGAGTGACTAGATGGATGGATGACTGACTGGCAGTTTGGTTGAGAGGTTGGTTGACCGGATGGATGGATGGAAGGGTGACAGACTCGCTGACAGGTTGGCTGATCTGGGTCGTTGGCTGGAAAGCTGCTCCAATGATCGAGTCGATTAAGGTCGAGTATCTTGGTTTATTGTGACTTTGGTTTATTGTGGTTTATTATGAATGGTTTACTGTGTATTTGGTTTAATCTGGTTATATGGCCTTTTATAATGTGTGTGTGTGTGTGTGTGTGTGTGTGTGTGTGTGTGTGTGTGTGTGTGTACCGCATAGCATTTCATACACACTCACCCAAGAAAGAGAATTGAACTGCCCATGACTTTTTATTTGTGTCTTTGGCTATTGTTGAGACACATAATATTCTCTCTTCAATGGTATTTGACCCCAGATTTGTTACTCTCCTATCACATAGAGCCCCTCACCACCCATCCCCCCTCCCCCCCCCTCCAGACCCTCCAGATCCCACCAGACCCCTCCAGACCCCTCCAGACCCCACCAGACCCCATCAGACACCCTCCAGACCCCACCAGACCCCACCAGACACCCCAGACCCCACCAGACCCCTCCAGACCCCACCAGACACCCTCCAGACCCCACCAGATCCCACCAGACCCCCCAGACCCCAGACCCCACCAGACCCTCCAGACCCCACCAGACACCTCCAGACCCCACCAGATCCCACCAGACACCTCCAGATCCCACAGACCTCCAGACTCCACAAACCCTCACCAGACCCCACCAGACCCCACCAGACCCACCAGACCCTCCAGACCCCACCAGACACCTCCAGACCCCACCAGATCCCAGACCCACCAGACCAGACCCCACGTCCCAGACCTCCAGACCCCACCAGACACCTCCAAACCCCACCAGACCCTCCAGACCCCACCAAACACCCTCCAGACCCCACCAGAACCCTCACCAGACCCTCCAGACTCCACCAAACCTCACCAGACCCCACCAGACCCCACCAGACCCTCCAGACCCCACCAAACACCTCCAGACCCCACCGAACCCCACCAGACCTCCAGACTCCACCAAACCCTCACCAGACCCTCATCCACCCTCATATTTTTGTATCCAAGTATATGTTGACGTATCTAGTGACTAACTCTTTAACTCTTGTTATTTTATTGTCACTTGAATTTTAAGAAAACCCAACATTGTGATATATATTTAACCTAACCTAACCTAACCTAACCTAACTTAACCATGAACATTGACCAAACATTAATGTATTCTTTCCGTTTTCTTTACAGGTGAGTGAGTCGACGAGGTAAAGGGGCCACTCAGTAGGTGTAATCATTGACAGCGGGGCCACTCAGTAAGCATAAGTCTTTTTGTTTACTAGAAGAGTTGCCTCAGAGAATATTTTAGATTCAAAGATAAAATGGATTATGTCCTGTTAATGTGTGTGTGGGGAGACAAGAAGGTGAGGAGGAGAATGGGAGAGAAAGTGACCTGACCTGACCTGACCTAGTACCTTGCGGGTCGGCATTTGAGGTCAAAACTTAGATTTTATTCAAATTTTGTACAATTTTTCAACGAATCTTTCCCTAATTCACGCCAGCAGCGGGTTGTGTCACGTGACGGTGCAGTCCATCAAAATATATGACAGATACAGAACATGACGGCTTGCACCACCTGGCCAAGTCTATGTGTCCGTTTTGCTCCACACCTGGCCATATCAGTGTGTCCGTGTTGCACTACTTGGCCATGTCCGCGTGTGTGTTTTGCACTACCTGGCCATGTGTATGTCAGGTGGTGTGTCAGGTGCTTCAGGTTAATGTGTTAGGTCGCATGAGAACTGATTATCTGGTATTGATGACTCTCTCTCTCTCTCTTCCGTGGCTCCATTGTTCTCTAATTAGACAGGCGTGTTCCTGTCTCCCTTTTTACCTGTCTGTTTATGTCTGTCTACTTGCATTTCCTTGTCTGTTTGTCTGTCTCAATTCACTTCTCCTTGTCACTATTGGACGGAGACTCTCATGCCCTTTCTGTCTCTTATTTTTCTTTTCTGTCTTTTTTTTTAATTCCTCATGGGAGTATTGGTTTCAACTCTCTCTTTGTCTTGTTACTCTTAATCTTCTCTTTCTCTTCCATATCTATCATTCTTCTCTCCTTTTCATCCACCATTCCACAAATTTCTTCCTTGATTTCCCTCTTTTGTTCATTCTTAGTTTCTGAAAATTCTCCCAATCTTCGTCTTCCCCCTTCAAGCAGGTCGACCACACCTCCCTTCCCTCCCCATCAAACAGGTCAACATCTCCCTTTCCCCCACTTCAACCACCTTTGTCACCCCTTCAAGCAGGTGAGAGAGAGAGGGAGGAAGGGAGGGCGAGAGGGAGGGCGAGAGGGAAGGTGATCTGGTGAAGTCATGGCCACACTTCACAATAATATGATAATTAATGCATCCATCTCCACAAGGGGGCAACCCGCTGTCCATTACCCATGTGCATGTCACTACGTCGAGGGGTGAGGGAGGGGAGGGAGGGGAGGGAGGGGAGGGGAGGTGGGGGGGAGGGAGAGGGGAGGGGAGTGAAAGAGGAGGGAGGGTTTATTTTATTGTGGAGGAGAATGTGAAGAAGGAAGGGTAGAGGAGGGGACGGGAGGAGGAGGTTAGGGGAAGGAGAAGAGGGGAAGAGGAGAAAGAGAGAGGGACTAGAGAAAAGATGAGGGGAGGAAGGAGAGGAGGGAGAGAGGGAGAAGAAGAGGAGGTGAGAGAAGCGAGAAGAAGAGATGGTATGTGAACTTTTTAATTCCTTTACTCGTCTACACAAATCTAAGACGAGATATAAATTGAGTTAATTAGCCATTTTCTGTAGTTTTCGAGGCGGAGGTATCAAGGAGTTACTGTCGTGTGGTGATACTTCCCAGAGGAGGAAGTAAACAGTGATGGACAGTGACAGTGACAGAAAGTACAACTCTCTCGAAAGTACCTTGAGATGGTGTTTTGGAAATCTACTCAACACTTAAAGCAGAGTTACAAAGGACAAGTTGACGTTCAAGCAGAAGATTAGTTGCAGTCGAAATCCACCGTTAAGGTTAGTTGAAATTGACGATTTAGCAGTAGGTAATCAGTAGTTGAAATTGACGATTAAGCAGTAGGTGATCAGTAGTTGAAATTGACGATTAAGCAGTTGGTGATCAGTAGTTGAAATTGACGATTAAGCAGTAGGTAATCAGTAGTTGAAATTGACGATTAAGCAGTAGGTAATCAGTAGTTGAAATTGACGATTAAGCAGTAGGTGATCAGTAGTTGAAATTGACGATTAAGCAGTAGGTGATCAGTAGTTGAAATTGACGATTAAGCAGTAGGTAATCAGTAGTTGAAATTGACGATTAAGCAGTAGGTGCCAAACAGTAGAAATTGACCCTCAAGGTGTAGGTGAAAAGTCATAAGAGTTAGCGGTTAGCGATAGGTGGAAAGTTAAAAGCATCAAGCGTGTTGTTGTGTGTTGCTGGCGGAGTGTTAGGTTAGGTTAGGTTAGGTTAGGTTAGGTTAGATAAACAAATATTTCGGTAGTATGACCTTACGATACTAATGTGCCTTTATTTTGAGCACGACAAAGCAAGTCTGTTAGTTTGAGGTTACGACACAGAAACTATCACCTTGTTTGAGCACACGACAAAGCACACCTTAGTTAGTTTGACTTCACGACACAACATAAGTAAGAGTGACTGTATAGGGGTGAAGAAATTTACATATAGTCTACATAAGGTAAATAAACACTAGGATTTATACACCTGTGTTAATTGTATGAATGAATGAATGAATGACTCAGGGAATTAACTCTTCAGGAGTCGAATTACATAAACTCAGCATCTTCCCAGGTTTTGACAACACAGTAAACCAGCAATAAAACCTTGCAAATTAAACCTTGGTAGTGTACTCTCTCTCTCTCTCAGTTTAAAAGCATGAGTTGACATCTTGATACTCCTCCTCCTTTTCCTCTTCCTCCTCTTGTCTACAACTCTTCCCTCCCTCTCATCCCACCCTCTTCCTCTCTCCACACCCCTCCCTCTTATCTCCCTTCCACCTGCCCTCCTCTTGCCTCCTCTAATCCATCCATCCTTTCTCTATTCTTTCATCCCTTCCCCTAACCCCTTCCCACCCTTCGTCACTCCAGAGAGGGGGGCTAGCCAGTAGTAATAGCCCCCTGCTACATATGAATCCGTCCCTGTGTTTGTCCGTCTCGTTATCGTCTCGTTACCGTGTCTCTGTGACGGCGGTAGGCTCAGTCCTCTCCCTCCTTCGGTTTATAACTCTCTGTCAATAGGTGATTTTTGCGAGGCCTCCCTAATAGATGGTCAGGGGTGGGGGGTGGTAGAGAAGGGGTGGGGGGTGTAGAGAAGGTGGAGTGGAGAAGGGGTGGGGGGGGAGTAGAGAAGGGGTGGGGGAAGAAGTGGGAGAGGTTGTGGATGGGAGGGGGGAGGATAGAAGATGTAGGGGAGTGGTAGGAGTGGCCTGAGAGGGAGTAGGGATTGAAGTGGTAGAGGTGTGGGAGGGAGGGAAGGGAGAGAGGGGAGGTTGAAATAGGGAGAAGGGGGGGGGGAGGTACATGGGTAAGTAGGCACCTCAGTCAATAATTTCTTAATGCAAATGAGCAACATAGACCAACCTGATAACCTAACCTAACCTAACCTAACCCCACTCCTCATTCCCTGCAATAATTATGTCCTCGAGGAATATTTATTACTTCATTATTAAAACCTCATGACTGTTATTAATCCATTTATTGTGTATTGATAAATCCATACTGTAATTAACTCAGTGGTAACACATGTATAAGTTGAATTACTATACACCTCTAACTGGCGTAATGGTTTAGGTTAATGATTCAGTTATATACTACTTGTTTTATACCGGGATTACATGGTATATATATTGCTAATTACTCCTAAGTTAAGGTACAGGTGCGAACAGGTAATTACAGGTAACTATTTGGTAGATTTCATTTTATTTCACAAATCTTAGACTAGTTTCTGTTGGGGTACTGTAGGTTGGGGGCGTGGTGTTGGGGCGCTGGGTGTGGTGTTGGGGCGCTGGGTGTGGTGTTGGGGTAGTGTGGGCTGGGTGTGGCTCTTCGTACACCACATATCTCCAACATTTTCTCCTACCTTCCTCCTCATCCTCCTCCTCTCCCTATTCCTCCTCCCCCTCCTTCTCTTATCCTTCTCTCCCCATCCTCCTCCACAATAAAAAAAACCCTCCACCTCTTTCACTCCCTCTCCCTCACCTCCCACCCCACCCCTCCCTCCCCCACCCCTCGACGTAGTGACATGCACATGGGTAATGGACAGCAGGTTGCCCTCTGTGGAATGGATGTCGTATCATATTATTGTGAAGTGTGGCCATGACTTCACCAGATCACCTTCCTCTCCTCCTCTCTCCCTCCCTCTGTTAAAAGGTGATGGGGGTGGGAGGAATGGGTGAGGAGGAGAGATGACCTGTTTAAGAGTAGGGGGTGATCGACCTGCTCAAGGGAGGGATGGAAGGGGTGATCGACCTGCTCAAGGGAGGGATGGAAGGGGTGATCGACCTGCTTAAGGGAGATAAGGGGTGTTCGACCTGCTTAAGGGAGGGATAGAGAGATAATCGACACTACTTGAAGGGGGGAGAGGGAGATAGGAAGAAATTTCCGAAACTAAGAATGAACAGAAAAGGAAAATCAAGGAAGAAATTTGTGGAATGGTGGATGAAAAGGAGAAAGAAGGTAGATATGGAAGAAAGAAGATTAAGAGTAACAAGACAAACAGAGAGAGAGAGAGGTGAAACCAATACCATACACAACTATTGACATGAGGAATTGAAAAAAAAGACAGAAAAGAAAAATAGAGACAGAAAGGGCATGAGAGTCTCCGTCCAATAGTGACAAGGGAGAAGTGAATTGAGACAGACAAACAGACAAGGAAATGCAAGTAGACAGACATAAACAGACAGGTAAAAGGGGAGACGGGAACACGCCTGTCTAATTAGAGGAACAATGGAGCCACGGAAGAGAGAGATTATCATTATCATCATCATTATTCTTAAACTATTTACTAACTAATGATTCTGCTTCTAGCTGTCGTTATGACGTGGTGTTCTCATAATGACCATAATAGTTCATTGTCTTCTTACGGTCACTGTAATATGTGATGTTATTCACTGTACTTAGTCACTGTAAGTCACTGTACGAGCGGCCACACGTGTTATAGGAAGCAGGGAAATGGGAAGGTAATATAGCAGGTGTTTTAGTTAGGAAAGCAGGTGTTTTAATTAGGAAAGCAGGTGTCTTAATTAGAAAAGGAGGTGTTTTAATTAGGAAAGCAGGTGTTTTA